CTCCGTAATCCACAAAATTAGACAGCAAAGAAATATTAACCATCTACAGGAATCCAAATCTGAATCTTACTCCTAATGTTTTTATTCTTTTATGTCTTCATAACAATCCATCTCCACAAGGCCTACCGATTTGCCCCTTTTTGGTCAAACAAAGTTTCTTGTTTCGCCTTAAAGTAAATCTAATTTATCTATTTTTGTACGCGTTTTACCCATGCTATAAAGCGTATATTTTTCTTCTAGGGCCAAGCCACGGATATCGCTATTCAAGCTCAGGAAATAATGAAGCTAAAAGCTATGATAAATAGAATATATTCAAAGCATACATTAAAAGATGTAAAAGAAATAGGTAAGAAAATTGTCTCTCTATTCATTTTTATCTAAACCCTTTTAGTTTTTGTATTTGTTACTACCTAGCTTCCGAAAATTAACTTTAGGACGCTGAAAAGAGTTGCTTATCGAGTAGTGCTCTAAGTCTTCCTCTTCATGTGACCACATCTCGTGATTCCTACATTCCTACATCTGGAACTTCAGAGATCTAGCAAGTCTCCAAACTCTTACGCGCAGAAGTTACAACGCTGGACTCAGTGCGTAAGCCTGTTCGCTCGGATAACAGTTTTGTTTACAATCGGGCCATCATCTCATGTCCACTAAACATTACAAAATTAGCACCCGCTGACAAACCTATGGACGCAAACAGATGAAAGTAGACAGTACGAAAACCGCCGACACCACAAAAAGTCAGCTAAGACCGCCTTCGCCCCACATAAGGACTCGTCAGCACAGCTAAATGAAGTGATGACCTAAAACTGATCTAGGCCTAACAAGAGTTGTGATACACGTGTAACCATTTCACAGAAAAATCAAAGTTAAATACTAAGAATCTTAGAAAAACATCAACTGACCTAAGGCTACTAAGGAAAAACTCCGATAATGGACAGAAATGCTTCTCGTTTAAGATCTTGGTATGGCTTCTCAGCTGGGTGTAAACAGGCATCTTCCTTGAGTCACTTCAAAAATTTCTTGCGCAATTGTAAATATACGTAATTGTAAGTTGTATATTGTAAATTTGGCCTTTCATTGTGGATATTTCTTTTAAAAAATTAGATTCAGATTAAAAAATAGGTTTTATTTTACTTTGTAAATATTGAATCGAAATTAGGGTACTTTGTTTTTTATAAAAGTTTCTGTAAGTATTTAAGTGGAGGGCCCCTTGAAAATCAGCATTATGATGGGCTGCCCTCCTTAAACATTTGAAATGAAATGAAGAAAAAAGGATTGCTTAGTGGTTGGGGTTGCGAATTAAACTTTGAAGGAGGGATCTGGACCAGTGTATCTCAAAGCTGTGGATTATTCTCCTTGCTTTAAACTAAGAATCATTTTTTAATTCAACAAGGAACTAAATAAAATTAATTTTTCCATTTGCATGGAAGTATATCTTAAAGATCATTAACAATCAAAGCTTGAATCGAGATTATGTTTGTCGAATATAAGTTGTAAAATTCAAATAATAAATAATAAATAAAATAAAATATAAAATAATAAAATTTAAAGTTTGAAAAAATAGCTGGTTCCTGATTGAAATAACAATTAAGAAATACCTCAGTATTGACTAGACTTATATGTACCAAATCTTCGAATTCAATTTACCTTAATGCAATATTTTTTTATTTTTGTTTTCAATTTGATTCTTGGAAAGCAAAAAATTATAAAGAAACCAAATATTTTGTAAAAACTGTAATTTTGTTTTCGATATGCCTATGTATTGGTTCATATATAAAATTTTATGATCGCATTAAGTGTAAAACTCTGAATTGCAACTAAAGAGTGTTTCTGAAGTAATGAAGGTCTGAAGAAAACTCATGTTTACCGGTCTTTCATAAAGTTCTCGAGAGCTTACATGCGTTTGGTGTATAAAACAGAACAGTTCTAAGTTGCTACATCCTCAATGCGATCACCAGGCAACCTTTTCACGCTAAGTACGTTAAAAGGGTGTTTCTTTGGCTCTACCTAAACACCATTGACCACTTTACGACAGATCGATAAACAGTAATTTCCTTTATACGTCACGTTATAATATTTCTGTCTGCGTACTTTTTAGCAGCCAATACTTTATGGTATTGTTTATGCTTTTCTTTTAACAGTTTTTGCATTCATTTAACTAATTTTTAATTTTGCAGAGGAGACATTAGAAAGAGATAAATTTATGTCGCCTCAAGAAGCTAAAGATTTCGGAGTAATCGATCATGTTGTGACACGATCTACGGAAGGCCTAGGAGAACCAATAATTTGAAATTATCTTTGTTGTTACTAACCAATTTGATAGTTTCTTGTTTCAACTTGGCAATTATATAGCATGTGTAAATTTTTAATAGAAATTGAAATGTAGACATGAAGTTTTATTTATACTGCATTGCAGTTTGGTTTTCTATCAGCAATTCCGGTTTTTTCCTGGTTGTTTCTTCAATATACACTTGTTTTTATAAGAAAGATATAAATCAACTATTATGCTGTCCTATTTAACCACTTTTGACGTCAATTTTGGTTCCTCAAACGATTTATCACCCCGCTTGACGTCAATTTTGGTTCCTGTCTTGCCAAAAAGGATCAAAAGGAAGTTTTTAGTATAGGAAGTGCGGGATAGGAACATTTTCTGCACACTTATAAATAGATCGCCAAAGCTCTTGAATATCAAATAAGCAGAAACAGTTCAAAAAACAGTGGTAGCCGGAGAGGAATCAAAATGATCAGATTTATGTTAATAGTCGCTGTCACGGTGGTGGTGTTCGAAGAAAGCAAAGTTGAAGGGCAAGGATATTTTCAAAACTATGAATTTCCCTGGAAGAAAAGACTCACGACTTTTAAGTCACGTTTGCATCTACCGCAGTATCAGTTTGGTTCAAACCACTATAATAGAAATCAAGGCTTCAGGTACAGCCAGCCCAACCTGAATTTTCCACGCGTTCCTTCATCAAGACGTATGTTTACTTTTTATTTGTACTATCACTTTATATATTGTATGTTGTGTTTTACGCCCACTCTAATCGCTTGTAAGTTTTCGAAATGCTGCTCCTATATGTGACATTGTGACGTTAAGAGAGATAACTGTCATGAAAATTTGAGTTCTTAAGGCTGCCGAGTAGCTTGATTCGTCTGTTGTTGATGCTCTTAAAATCACATTGCTTGCGAATTAATGAAGCAGAATTTTTAAAATTGAATATTCTGAGGAATTTGCTGCCTTTAGTCTACTTTATACCTTTTGATTATGTATATGTATGGATTGGTTTTCTTATTTCCAAAGGCCATTCCTTCACTGGTGGGTTCGGCTATAGTAAAAGCCAAGGCCTAAATTGGAATCTTGGTGTAAAACTGAACTTAGGTAGAAAGCGACGATATGCAGAGGACGAAAATCCACAAAAATCAGGAAAAATTCCAACAGTTCCTCCAGTAGACGGTGAAAGGAAAGTTAAGGTTGAGGAGCAAAGTGGTATTTCCAATCAAGAAAAACTCATTCTCAACAACCAAGAAACCTGTGACAAATGTTTAGAAATTCAGCCATTGAAAGTCGACGATAAAATTGCAGAAAACAAAACATTGGAGGATAATGACTTTGTCATGGTTGTCAAGCATATCGATACAAACCTCTCTGTGTTCAAACTGTTGTCGATCATGAAGTTTGAAGTTGTTGATGTCTTGAAAAGTCCCATTGAAAAAGTCAGTAAGGGCAACCAATTTACAATCAGAGCCGAAATGGCAGACTGTCCCTGCCTTTCTATCCTTGACCCAGGGTACTATGTTGTCACAGGCGTCATTGACGAAAAAGGCAGACTCACTCTTTCAAATGTTCTTATGGAGTTTGAGGAGAATAAATGAACATATAACGTTCTTCTGTTTTCTTTGTAAAGTGCACTAGAACTTATTTTAGATTTGAGCCGATGTCCTTTTTTATGCAACATTTATAGAAGTCAAATTCTGTTTTTTGTCTCTCCAAGACGATCATAGAAATCTAATTTAGTTCAAACGGTAAATGCAACATAAGAAAAGATCAATAAGTTTGTATTGATCCTCTTTTTCTGGAAACATTGTCCTTGCTCGTTTTCATAAGATACGGTGCGCGAGGCCTTGTTCTTAAGTTCCTCATTTTTGAGCCTCGTAATAAAATCGTAGTACCAAAAATGCCTTAATACTTCTTTAACTGCATATTTAGCGCTATGAAATTGCACAGATGCAAGAAGACATTGAAATTCTGTTTAGCAATAAACCTTAGCTAGAAGGCAAAGCCAAAAGACCAATGAGACGAAACTTCTTTGATAAATGTAAAAGTACAATTTCAACCAAGAAGTAACATGCCTTTCTTATTCTTGATTGCTTTCACTGGTAAAATATTCAAGATTGGAAAGTGCCCCGGACATTTTGTCAGTAGTATAAGATCCTTAAATGTGTTTTTATCTTATATTGTGGTTCCTGATAAAAAGCCTCTAATCCATTATGAAATGTGCTCTGTGGGTGACTCCTAGAAATTCTTCTGTTTCCTCTTTCAAACCACCTCACTGTAGTTGGCTTCGTTTGCTAAAATTTTTACAACACGATTTACGAACTTGGCAATAAAAGCAATGCATTGACAAAAAATTGATTTTTCATAATATATGCAATACACTCAAAAAAATAAATTCATTCATTTTTTAGAAGAAACTGGCTATAAAAAACGAGTACTGGATAGTCAGAAAAAATTAAGAAACTTCAGTACTCAAAGCAAAAATATAAAGAAACTATTTAATCGTGATAAAACTGAGAACAACGAAATATTGTAAATTCCAAGAACATGATTGCCCTGTTGGCCTGGAACTTAAGACACAATGGATAAAAATATACTTCCCACATCTCAATACAGCATCAGAACGGAAGCAAATCTCTTGACGTGATAGAAAAGGTCACAAAAATTTTATTAACATCATTCATGACATCATGATTAAGAAACTCTTAAGAAACAATGAGTATTTAAATTTCCAGAAGATTAAGAAACTGGAGTACTCAACATCGACCTTTATTTCTTATAAAAAATAACGAGTGTAACCATTTTCGAAGTTCAGTCACACTCTAGATACCGTATTCCCTCTAAAATAAGTTGCGGTTTATTTTTTATGAAATGAAATTCTTCATGATGTTTTTTATGAAATGAATCGGCTTATTTTCGAAATGTTTTCTGAAAAGAGAAAACAAATTTTAACAAATTTTCAAACAATTTGCCAGTAGATTCGAATAATTTGGTTCGAGCGTTTGACTGTCTGTGCAGTGCAATGGCTTCACGTGTCTCGGCTCATTTTCGAGGTCGGCCTATTTTTCCTGTACCGCAATGCCTCGAACAAGCGCACCCCTTAAATAAGAACCCCTATCGAATAAGAGCCCACCCTAGAGGTGAAGTTATTGAATAAGCGCCAACCCTAGAGGTGAAGTTATTGAATAAGCGCCCCCTCGAATAAGCGCCCAACCCTCGAATAAGCGCCAATCCTTCAACCTTCAGAAACGGGCGCTTATTCTAATTTTCAACAAAAACATAATTGGGAAGCAAATCAACAAGACAGAGTCATGAACAGTAAATAGTTTGCACCCAAATCTACTTTTTAATTAAGCGCCCCTCTCTATTAAGTGCCTCCCTCAAATAAGCACCCACCTTAGAGCCTTAAAAATTAAATAAGCGCCCGGGCGCTTATTCAAGGCATTACGGTATTTTCAAATGGTTTTTCGGCTTATAGTTCTTTTCAACAATAACTGGTAATTCATTAACACGTTTAATGTAATAAGATGACATCTGTGGTGGCATGAAAAGTACTCTTTATTCAAATAATTTTGATGTCATCATTCATCTAGATATTGCCTAATTAATAACATAACCATTGAAAAATAAGAATGTTCGTAAGAAAAATGAACAAAAGAAAAATTTGCAGAATAGATTTCAGGATAAAAATTCCTGCGGAAGTTTTTAGGCCTTCGCCAAGGAATCGAGCAAGCAAGTATTCGTGTACTGTAATTTAAAAAGCTTCATTTCCTATTTTAAACAAATGTTGTTGTAGACAGGGACTCTGACGAAAAGGGGGTCATTCCCCATTTTTTGCAAAACAAAAGAGCTCTTTTCAAAATATTTTATTATGGGTGTTAGATTTCCCCTTGCCCCCCTACTTTCCAACCTGTGTCGGACCCCATGGTAGATCTAATAGGAATATTTGTTGATGGTACAAAACTTGACAACAAGACCTGAGTCATCTGTTAAGGCTATTCAAAGTAGATTCATTTGAAAAAGGAGTCATTTGAAGATGGAGTAATTCATTCTGAGCTTCAAAGCAAGTCCTAATACACTTAGTTTTAGTGAAATACTCACTCCCGGAAAAGCAAAACTCATTTTTTCTTATTTGTACCGCCACCTTTGAAGCTGCAGATTTTAAAACGTATACCTTATATCCTCGAATAAGCACCCGAGCGTTTATTTAAAACGAGCGCTTATTCGAGCAGGGTGCTTATGGTATATATTCGATTTAAAGCCGCGGGTTATAATTATTTTTTGCCACGTTTTGCTACGGTTTATAATCAAGGAGGCATGCAAACGAGGGTGGCTTGCATTATTCTATCCAGATCAAGTCAAGCATCCTGCAACCTTGAAGCTGAGAGTGATGATGTAAAAGACGAGGTAGAAATTCTTCTGGAAGATATCAATGATTCCATGCTAGATGATTTTGTTGTTCAGTGTACTTCTGATGTCTATTTTCTGGTTTAAGCATACAATCAGGTTTTCTCAGATTTTGCGCCTGTATTTTCAAACCAAGTATCACTACATGGATGTGCAGCTTAAAATCAAGGGCGGCTAACAATTTTTCAAAAACCCAATGACCCAATTCAAAAACACAATGAATGAAAAGAGATTGCAGCATTATTATTACTATAATCATTATTGCTACTATGTTTTTTCTCAGTTTTCCCTTTTAAGTTACGACTGTTTTAGTTTTTTCTTTTAAAATCAAGCTAGCCAATTGCAAATTACCTTGTAATAGTGAGATTTGCAATGGTAGCTTTAATTGAATTGAAAATGGAATGTTTCCATTATATAGACCATCACTGAACTGCGAGAATGGTTATAGCATATATTTTGAGAATATATAAAGTTTATATCAATGCATTGCTTTTATTGCCAAGTTCGTAAATCGTGTTGTAAAAATTTTAGGAAATGAAGCCTACTACAGTGAGGTGGTTTGAAAAAGGAAACGGAAGAAATTCTAGGAGTCACCCACAGATCACATTTCATAATGGATTAGAGGCTTTTTATCAGGAACCACAATATAAGATAAAAACACACTTAAGGACTTATACTTCTGACAAAATGTCCGGGGAACTTTCCAATCTTGAATATTTTACCAGTGAAAGCAATCGAGAATAAGGAAAAAGCATGTTACTTCTTTTATCAAAGAAGTATAAAAACAAGCAAGGACAACGTTTTCAGAAAAAGAGGATCATTACAAATGTATTCATTTTTTCTTATGTAGAATTGCATTTACCGTTTGAACTAAGTCAGATTTACATGATCGTCTTGGAGAGACAAAAAACAGAAAAATGACTTCTATAAATGTTGCATAAAAATGTACATCGGCTCAAATCTAAAATAAGTTCTAGTGCACTTTACAAAGAAAACAGAAGAACGTTATATGTTCATTTATTCTCCTCAAACTCCATAAGAACATTTGAAAGAGTGAGTCTTCCTTTTTCGTCAATGACGCCTGTGACAACATAGTACCCTGGGTCAAGGATAGAAAGGCAGGGACAGTCTGCCATTTCGGCTCTGATTGTAAATTGGTTGCCCTTACTGACTTTTTCAATGGGACTTTTCAAGACATCAACAACTTCAAACTTCATGATCGACAACAGTTTGAACACAGATAGGTTTGTATCGATATGCTTGACAACCATGACAAAGTCATTATTCTCCAATGTTTTGTTTTCTGCAATTTTATCGTCGACTTTCAATGGCTGAATTTCTAAACATTTGTCGCAGGTTTGTTGGTTATTGAGAATCAGTTTTTCTCGATTGGAAATACCACTTTGCTCCTCAACCTTAACTTTCCTTTCACCACCAACTGGAGGCAATATTGGCACATTTGCTTTTGGTTGCTGTGATAAGATTTGTCCTGCTTTCACTGCATCATCGTTCTCTGCAGATCGCCATTTTCTGCCTAGGTCCAGTTTTAAACCGACACTCCAACTTAGGCCATCGTTTCGGTTATAGCCGAAATCAGCAGTGAAAGAATGGCCTTCGGGGATTAAAAAAAACAACATATATAAATGATGTTAAAATATTAAAAAAGATTAAAGGTTGCATCTAGTATGGCCTATCTTTATCTTTAAAATGGTTGAAAGGCAATGTATCCTCAAAGCCCTGAAAAGAATGGGCACTATTCGAAATTGTGCAAGGGATAAGAGAATTAACAATTGAATTATCAAATGTTGTGCACCCTACGTCAAGATGTAAAATGTTGCTTAAATCGATTGATTCTCAGGACCTTTAAAAAGGCAGAGGATGGCCAATAAATGATGCGACGTAAATCGGTTAAATCTTTCCTTCTTTTCTTTCGATAAAATCGTCCCGGCAGCTACATAACTTGCATGCTAACAACGGCATAATAATTAACGCGTGACATGGGCATAATCTTTCTCAAGAACTATCCCAGAGGTCTTCCAAAACTGATATATCTTCTATAAATATTTCAAAACGACGAAGGCGACAAGATCTTTCACAAGCATCTTGCCCCTAAAACGGTGCATGCATAAACTGCTTTCTCTTGCTGCTACTTTTCCATAATTCTTACTGCCTAAAATCATAGTCAATAGAAAGGAGGACTGGTCTGGAAGCCTATTGTTCTAACTCTTTGTTCAAAGATTACGTGGTCACGTGCCAAACTGAGTGCAAGGAACTTTCCCGCGCTAAGTCAAAAGACAAGGATTCATAAGGAAAACCGTAAATTTATGTTCGAATATTGTTAGAATGAACCGTTGTTTTTTGTAACTATGCCTGGAGC